GCCAGCCTGGATACAGAACAAGATCCTGTCATGAACCAACAAAATGTAATTTGTCACTTCTATATGTACTATGCATTAATTTTTAAAAACTATGTCAAAAATACATAGCATGTATCAATTCTTAAAATAGTGTGGTATTAAAATATGAATAGATCAATGGGGGGAAATGGGCTCAAAGAGAGGGCTGGAAAGGTAGTCCAGCTATTAAGAGCACTTGCTATCTCTTGAGACCTGGGTTTGATTCCTAGCACCCACATAGTGGCTCACAACCATCTGTAACTTCAGTTCTGTAGATCTGACACCTTCTTCTGGCCTCTTCAGACACGCACAGACATACATGAAGATAAAACACCCGTGCACATAAGACTCAAAGACATTTGGGATTATAAAGGTAATATTCAAAAAACAGTACAGAAAATGCAGTTGAATAAACCAAGCTGTTATCTCTATCTCACAAGTTTATGTCATAATAAATTCCAGAAATACCAAATTTTATACATTCAAAGATACAAAATGCCTTTTTAAGGAAAACAAGAGTTTTAAAAAATAATTTTACCTAGTGAGAGACTTTTCTAGATGCAATATGAAACCCAAAAGTTATAAAAATATATTAATTTTTTTACACAAAATTACTGGGACTGCGGAAATGGTTCAGTCAGGTAAAGGCCTGCTCTATGGAGGCCCAAAGAGGCCAAAGGTCAAAGTTTGGGGCTTGTTTCTAGATCATTCTCATTCAAGGTTCTTGTGCTTCTACACAATAGACAAAGGTTCCACCTAGTTGTAAACCAGAAAGTTTGATCTCGCAGGCTATTGTTAACAGGTGTGGCTGGTTGCCAGCCCTTGTGCTCCTGAAATAGGAAAGTAGTTGGTTACCACCTAAAACAAAAGACTAAGGATCCAACTAAGTTCCAGTTCCCTTTATGAAAGTAATTTGGGATTCCACCCAGGGGGTGCTTTGCCTACAGAGTGTTTGGTCTGGAGCATGAGTCTAAGAAGTAAGAAAGGCGAAGCCAGGCAGTAGTGACGCACACCTTTAATCCCTGCACTCGGGAGGCAGAGGCAGGCGGATCTCGGTGAGTTCAAGGCCTTTAATCCCAACACTCTGGAGGCAGAGGCAGGCGGATCTCAGTGAGTTTAAGGCCAGCCTGGTCTACTGTAGCTAGTTCCAGGACAGGCCCAAAAGCTACAGAGAAACACTGTCTCAAAAAAATCAAAACAAAAAAAAAAAACCAAACAAACAAAAAAGAAGTGAGAATGATGAACACAGCCCCCGGGACTTTCAATTTGAGGATCGATGCAGTCTTTTGTTTCACTCCCAGCTTCTGAGGCCAGGGGTATATTAACCAGTTGGAAATTAAACACGGGCCAATTTTCAGTACTCACTGGAAAATTCCCTCCCGATATTATCCTATATGTTTCTGCGTTTTATTATTTTCGTTCGTTCAGAAAAAGCAGGTTGGCCTTCCTTTCCCTCTTCTGGGGACGGTGCTTAGAGGCACTCAGAATGGTCCAGCGTTTGACATACCGTCGTAGGCTTTCCTACAACACAGCCTCCAACAAAACTAGGCTGTCCCGAACCCCGGGCAACAGGATTGTTTACCTTTACACCAAGAAGGTTGGGAAAGCACCTAAATCAGCATGCGGTGTGTGCCCAGGCTGACTCCGAGGGGTTCGTGCTGTGAGACCGAAAGTCCTCATGAGATTGTCTAAGACAAAGAGGCATGTCAGCCGGGCCTATGGTGGCTCCATGTGGGCCACGTGTGTCCGTGACAGGATCAAGCGGTTTTTCCTTATTGAGGAGCAGAAAATTGTTGTGAAAGTGTTGAAGGCACAAGCACAGAGCCAGAAAGCATAATAAACATGCAGCTTTTTAATAAAGGTCAAGGCTTTGTCCGAAAAAAAAAAAAAAAAGAAAAAGAAAAAGCAGGTTGTAGCGGTGCATCTGGGAAGCTAAGGGACAGCTTGGTCTCTGCACCTCACTGACCAGCTAGCCTACCCTAAACACTAACTCCAGGTTCAGGGTGAAACAGGTGAAACACTGTCTTTAAAAATAGAAAAGAAAAGAAAAAGGCAGGAAATGGTTGAGGAAGACGTCTGGATTCTGTGTCTGACTTCTGTCCCACCCTCAAAAGTGTGGTGCACCTGCGCATACACATATGCACCCCATACAAATATCACACATATACACAAATAGCTATAGTACAGCAAAACCATAAACAGTTTGAATTACACAGATTAGGGGCTGAAGAGATTGCTTATCAGTTAAGAGCACTGGCTGCTCTTCCAGGGGACCCTGGTTCAGTTCCCAGCACCTGTCACACCAGTTCTGGGGAATCCAAAACCTTCTTCTGGCCTCCATGGGCACCAGGCACACACAGTGAACAGAATGCTTGCAGACAAAACACTCATAATCATAAATATAAAAATTGTTTAGATAAAAACAAAAGACAGAATAAACTGGAAAGGGGGGAAATATTTCAAATTTAATGGACAATGAACAAATATTGAGCTTCAATAACTAATAAAATATTAACAAGGCATGCAGACAATTTACAAAAAATACAGTACATGTAAACATATTACATACAACCCTACTTACAATAAGGAAATGAAAAATTGTAATGAAATGATAATTTCCAATGTCAGATTATCTAAACAATTAAGGCGTGTGACAACATACAGTTTAAGTATGCTATCGAATAGGCCTTTTTCATGGATGCCTGACAGGTGCAAAAACTTTTTAACTTCTGTAGAAGGCACTCTGGCAATACTAAATCAAATCTTTTTCAAAATTTAGAAAAATCTTGACAGAAAAATCTTTGCAAAACTGTGTGCATCCAAATGAAATGACAAGGCACACTTCTTTTGGCTGGTATTTCCATGAAGATGTGGTCCGTGGAGATACAGTCACCTAAGAGCAAAGAGAAGCTGAGCATGGTGATAGATGCCCAGGTGGATCTCTGTTTGAGGCACGCCTGATCTGCAGAGAGAGACGCTGTCTCAAAACAAACAAAAAAAATTGATCTACATTGGGAGTTCCAAGTCAGCAAGGACTGCATAGAGATACCTTGTCTTTTTTTTGTTGTTTTTAGTTTTTTTGTTTTTGTTTTTGTTTGGTTTTTTTTTGAGACAGGGTTTTTGTTTTTGTTTTTCTTCGAGACAGGGTTTCTCTGTAGCTTTGGAGCCTGTCCTGGAACTAGCTCTTGCAGACCAGGCTGGTCTCAAACTCACATAGATCCACCTGCCTCTGCCTCCCAAGTGCTGGGATTAAAGGCATGTGCCACGACCACCCGGCTGAGACAGGGTTTCTCAGTAGCTTTGGAGCCTGTCCTGGAACTAGCTCTGTAGAACAGGTTGACCTTGAACTCGCAGAGATCTGCCTGCCTCTGCCTCCCTGAGCGCTGGGATTAAAGACTTGGCCAACCACCGCCTAAAAGATGCCTTGTCTTAAAAATAAAACATTAAAAGTACAAAGTGAAGTGTGCTTGAAAACAAACGTGTTAAAGTTCTGGCTAAATACGTTTTACATCATACATCTTGAGATTTAACTATGAGGCAGAGAGGTATGTTGCTATGAAAAGCTTTCGAAGCCGGGCAGTGGTGGTTCACACCTTTAATCCCAGCAATCCGGAGGCAGGGGCAGTCGGATCTCTGTGAGTTCAAGGCCAGCTTGGTCTACAGAGCAAGTTCCAGGGCAGGTTACAAAGCTACTGAGAAACCCTGTCTCAAAAAAAAAAAAAAAAAAAAAAAAAAAAAAGACTAACAATTCCCCCCCCAGAAATTTTCTAAACTATACGTACAGTATGTTTTCAATATTTATGTGTTTTAACTATGACTTGTCTTATGAAAATTTTCCCAAGAAACTGGTTGTATTAGTTACCTCTGAAGAAACATTTTCTGCAATAACCGTTGTTATTTGTGAATCTTCTAGGTGAATGTATTATTTATCCAAATACATATTTTTTGAATGACTAGACGTCGAGCACGTCTAAGTCCCAGCTACTCAAGAACCTGAACAAACAGAATTTGAGGACAGCCTGGGCAACATACCAAGCACTGATCTCTAAAATAAGTGATAACAATAACTTTAAGGGGGAAACTGACCCAACGACAAATGAATGACCAGACACAATTTTGTAGCCACTCAGCTATTGTTTATTGAGTGCTCATCACGCTCCAGGCTCCAGGCATGGTTTGATAGTGCAAACCATCTTTCGGTGACTCGGAGCAACTATGTCCTCGCCACAGTGCAAGGCGGTGGCAGGACCAACCGTTCCTAACGGTACGGGAACTAGCCAGGCGGCGGCTGGAATTCAGTTTTTTAAGCAAACCGCTGCCTACCAAAGCCTCCCCTTCTGCTGGGCCGGGGTTGGGGCAGGCGGGCCGCGCTCCACCGCAGCCCCCTTACCCGGGTGGCCACTTTCTGTCTACATGGAGTGTCCGGGGCTCGGTCGCCGTGCGGTGCGGCGTCCGTCCCCACGTCACTCCTTTACCGTAGTTGCTTTAACAGATTAGCTGGCCAAGAAGGGGGTGGGGAACGATCTAGGGAGAAATTCTTAACAGATCAGTGCCGCCGCACCGCCCATCACGAGGCGGCTTCCCCCGCGACCGCAGAGGTGATTCCGTAGGGCCGGAGACTCCCATCCAAGCCCCCGGAGCCGCGGAGCGCTACGGTCCCTCGCGGGTTGAAGCCGCGCGACTTCCTCCGCTCGGAGAAGGAGCCGGGACAGCAGGAGCCTGCAAGCGGCTCCGGACCGCTCAGTAGGTGCACGCTCCATCACCACCATCTGCTTCCCGCCGCTCCAACTGGCTAGCGAGGTGGGCGGGCTCGGAAGTTCCATCCGTGTAATTGGCCTGCAGCGCGCAGCGGCCCCCGTCACTCACGGCAGCCCGCGGCAGGATTGGCTGCGGCGGGGAAGCGCGATTGGTCAGACTCCAAAGCGAGCATTGATTGGTGTGGGAGCTCCGCGGGTGGGGCAGGAGACTGCTGAAAAGCCTCGCGCTGGGCGACGAAGCCACAGAGCGTCGAGGCGGCAGCTCGGGTGAGGTGCGAGGCGAAGCGTGCAGTGCGCGACTTGGAGAAGCGGTAAAGGCGGGCCTCGGGAGAGGAGTTTGGGGCTTGGGAGAAGTTGGGCGGTGGGCAGCCTGGTACCAGGGAGGCATAAGTGACGGCCTCAAAGTCCGGAGGCGTAGAGCGCGTGGGGCCGGGTCGTCATCTGGGGTGGCTGTGCTGAGAGCTACTAACTGCAGGAAACTCGCCACAACTGTGCTTGTGCTCCTGGTGAAACGAGGGGCCTTTTTGTTAATTTGCCCTTTACCTCCCCAAGTTAGTCCGGCAGCTAGTTGCAGCTGCGGGATGCTTCATTATTTATCTAGTGACAGGGCCTGTGTCAAGATGGCTTGGAACTCCTTCCAGCCTTTGCCTCTGGAGAGTTGGAAGTACAGGCAAGCTTTGGGTTGTTCTGGTCGTCTTCCTTTCTCACTTTGCTTTTGTTCTTCCGTTTGTGTGTTTTTGAGACAATCTCTTGTGGTCTACGCGGACTGGCCAAGAACTTGCCCAGTAGCCAACCTTAACCTCCACCTTTTCAGGTCTTGGTATTCTGGGGATTGGACACCTGGCTTCCTCACCACCACCTCTCCCCAGAGGAAATCTTGGTGGGTTTGCCTGGTTTGAATTTGCCTCCTGATTCAGTTGGGTATCACCCAACAAACTTGTCCTTGTCACTGGATTTCACCCTGTGACACATTCCCATCACAAATCGTGTCTGAATGGAACACACCAATGTCCCATTCAGAAACTTTGGTTTTCCTCTGACCTTGACACCTATCTTGGCACTCAGTTGTCAAGAGAACTGATTCTTGTGTGTTGTCATCCAACCCCACACGCATGCCAGTGCATACACAAGTATAAGCCTGGCGTGTGCTATGAATGTGGGATACTGTGAAAGTTCATATGGACTTTAATCGCAGCACTTGGGAGGCAGAGGCAGGCGAATCTCTTTGAGGCCAGCCTGCTCTACAAGAGCAAGTTCCAGGACAGCCAGAGTTACACAGAAACCCTGTTTTGTTTTGTTTTTGTTTTTTTAAAAAAAAGGCGTTTGTGTAATACCACACAAAGTTTTATTTACTGGCTGACTATTGGAAGAACTGATGTTTACCCAGTAATTTGTGGGAATGTACCCTACAAAAATAACCTCAGACCACATTAGGAAAACCTCTTTTCCCCGAAAGGTATGGAAAAGGTGTGGTAGTGGGGAGAGCCAGAGGTGGTAATACATACTTCTGATCCAGAGATCAGACCAGCCTGGGCAATTTAGGCCGTTCCAGAAACGGGACATGGGGAAGAAGGGTATACATCAGTAGTAAATGCTTCCATGGTTATCCATTCTTAAACTGAGTGTGGGTGGGTGGTATACAAAATCTACTAAGTAATTATCCCAAATTGAAAAGACGCCTGGATGCCCAAGGCAATAAAAGGTTTTGGTTTTTTTCCTCAGACTGTAATCTGGTCAAGATTAACTTTATTTAAAACCACTGATTTGGATCAAGTGGTTGTGGCGGCACATGTCTTTAATCCAAGGCAGAGACAGGTAGATAATCTTGTGAGTTTAAGGCCAGCCTGATCTACAGAGAATTCAAAAAAACTACTGACTATGAAAAAAGATTTGAAGAACCTCTGATAGACTCTGAAGAATTTTACTCTGTCCTGGTCAGTAAAGCTCACCAGGGCCAGTGGTTATGCAAGCAAGCTTTTATGGCTGTTTGTGGTGCTGAAGTTTGGGACCTTGAGACACAGGCATGGGAATGCTCCCATTAGGCTACACCCAGATTATACCAGATGCAATTCTGATCTCTCACCAGGACACTGCTCCTGGGTGTGAGGTTTTCACACCAGTGTCTTAATTTTCCTTCTAGGCTTCTAGGGAGAGCACACTTATTTTAAGTTTTACTCCAAAGTAGGTTTTCTAGTATGTTTTTAGCTTTACTGGAATAAAACTAATTTTTTCGAGATAAAGATAATCTAATTTTATGGACTGTATGTTCATGGACTTGTGTGTACATGTAGGTACTTGTGCATATGGAAGTTTAAAGTTAACACCAAGTGACTTCAGTTGCTTTCTATTTTATTTACTAAGAAAAGGGACCTCACGCAGAGCTCCCCAGTCCGGGCTAGTCTTTATCCAGTTAGCCCTAGTGTCTGCGTCTCAAGGGCTAGAATTAGCCACAGTGCCTGAGTTTACATGGGTCCTGGGGATCCAAATTCTGGGCTTTGGGCTTATTATACATCAAGCATGTAGCATTGCCTCAATCCAGCATTTTATTATCTGGTGCTAATATATCGTAATGTAATGACATTGTATATGTTTAATCATCTATGTTTTCTGCAAGCGTTTACTTTTTGAATTGAAGTTGATCAAAAGAATTGTAACATTGTTACCCTGAAACTTTAAATAAGGAAAGTTAAGAGAAACTTCTAAAATCACTTGACAAGACTTAACTAATTCAAATTCTGAGTGACAGGGTGAACAAACTTTTCAGGTATATGTGTACCTCTATAAAATGGTTGCTTCCTACTTTACAAGGTTGTGTGAATTGAATAATCTTTGTGTTTCCACTGCCACAGTTGTATCTAACACATAGAAGTGTTTAATGTGCTTTAACTGCACGAATAGAGCCAGTAGGTCAGGCGAAGCGGGATAACAGTACTGTGGTAGAGTGGCGTGACCCACATCAGTCAGCATTAGGAATCCCTGAGGCTTCAGAAGAGATACTACTGTAGATGAAAGAATAGAGGAATCCCGAAGCTTCAGAAGAGATAGTATTAAAGATGAAACCTGAAAGAATAGAACTTGATAGGGACACTGGCAAAGCTAAGACACAAGGGACATGTGTCAGGGGAAGATATGTAAATAGATCCTAGTCCCCTAGCAAATAGAAAACAAAAATGAGGCTATGAAAATGGCAGGAAAAAAAATTAAGGAATTTACATGTAAGCAGCTGAGAGCCACATTTAAAAAAATAAGATTGTTATATTTATTCAAAGTACTATTGGTCAGATATTAAGTGTATGCTAAACACTGAAGAAGGAAAAATAATTTGTAGTATTGAGGAATTTATATATTTTCAAACTACCTTCTCATTTTACATACCAATACCAGTTTTCACTCCCTTCCCTCTGAAATTTACATTATTTGGTCTTTTTTTGGTTATTTTGTACCCCCCCTCCCCCCCAAGCTGAGGACCGAATCCAGGACCTTGTGTTTGCTAGGCAAGAGCTCTACGACTGAGCTAAATCCCCAAGCCCCGGAATTTACATTCTTTTGTAGAGATGAGAAATAACCTTGAAAGGTATCAATATGTTGGCTTTTAATCATAGTGATGTGAGAAACCTGGGATGTTTTGAGAGGAAACATTACAAACATTACTTGAAGTTTTCCAACTTTTTAGGATGAGCTGGAGGGATGGCAAATGCACCCCCAATTCTCCCCGCCAATGCAGCATTTCAAATCAGACCAAGACAAACTGAATTATAAAAAGCCCAGGTTTAATGGCTAAAACACTCCTAACCAAGAGAGGAAACAGGAAAGACCAGAAAATCACGTGTCTGCTTAATGGGAGAGAGGGGGACAGTATAAATACCCTGTGGGAGTGGTCTTGCTGGACAGTGGAGCACACCTTTAATCCCAGCACTCAGGAGGCAGAGACAGGTGGATCTCTGTGGATCTGGTCTACACGAGCTGTTCCAGGCCAGGCTCTAAAACTACAGTGAAACCCTGTCTCGAAACAAAAATAAATAAATAAAAATAAAACCATGTGGAATAAGAATTACAGTGAGGGAATGGTATTTGCTTGACAGAAAAGATACAATATCAGAGATTCATAGCAAAGCTAGTAAGGTTTTTTGGAGACAGTTTTTCTGTGTACCCCTGGAACTTGCTCTGAAGACCAGACTGATTTTGAACTCAAATCCTCCTGCCTCTGCCTCCTGAATGCCAGATTTAAAGGCATATATCACCTCTGTCTGGCTAGATAGTGGGTTTTTGTTTTGAATACAGTGTTTTCTCATGCCTCTCTGCCAACCAGACAAGTGGTGGCAGAAAACTACTCAATTTGTTTCAGGACGTTAAATCAGTACAACAGAAAATGGCCGCTGAACAAACTTCATGGACAAGCCTGTCCACTATTCAAAAAATAGCCCTGGGCCTTGGGATCCCAGCAAGTGCAACAGTTGCCTACATCCTATACCGCCGATACAGGGAAAGCAGAGGTATGTGAACCCGTGTGCGCCTGCAATATTTTATCTCCCTATTTGTTAAATTGAAAGCTGCCCTCGCCACACCAGTACTGTTAAAATACATTTTCTGTGAGAAGGGTTTGAAAATGTCACTTCATTTATTCTTGGAAAACTAGTTTGTGAAGGGATCTTCTGTCATTGACTCTTCCCATTAGCAAACCAACCATGTGATTTGAAAATATATGTTCATTCTGCTGCTTCTCTCAAGCTGTCGAACGTAGACACAGCTGGACCTGGAGGTCCCAACGGAATGTTTCAGTCTAATGAATGCCTCAGACAACTCTAGCCTTTTGCTCTACGAGAATCATGTCTTAGAGTAGCATCCCAAAAACTCATAACTTCTCTAGAATATGCCTTTCACATTTTAGCATCTGAAACAGTATCCCACAGAAAATGCCAAGCGGTCTTTGGAGGAGGGCAGGTAGAGTGGTGGGGATTGAACTTGCCCTTTTGTATACGTTATACCCTTATCTCAGCTATAAACCCAGCCCTAGCTCTGGTATTCTGGGATCTTCTAGTTTCTATTCAGATTCTACATATTGCATGTGGTTGAGATCCACATTTGTCTCTGGGATTTGTGATTCAGGGTAGGGACAGTTGTAGCTTTAGTGTATTTAATTCTGATTTGTCATGGTCTACATAGAAGAGCGGTTGACATTTGTTGGAGAAGATGACATCGAGATAGAGATGAGGGTTCCCCAGGAGGCTGTGAAACTCATCATTGGTCGACAAGGAGCCAATATTAAACAGGTAAGTGTGAGCAGGCAGATGGCTGACTCGTTTCCTTCCTCTAACCACATTACACAACACCCATGCCCCACGTATTTTTAAAAGAAACTACAGGAACATTAAACTAACTGCACTATTTTCCTTCCAAAATTTAGTACTTCTGCTCAGATGGTAGATGATTAAACTTGAAATAGTATTTGATTGGGGTGGTTCTCAACTTGATAGCATGAATATTTTTATTGGGTAGTTAATGACAAAGAATTGCTACCTATTGTTTCATTTCTACCTTTCATTGTTTAGCTTAAATGTCCAGAAAACAAAGTCTCTGGGTATGTGAGTATTGGCACAACCTGATCCTCCCAGTGCTAGTAAACTTGTGCCAATACTCACATTACTAGCACTGGGAGGATCAGGGTTTGCTCCCTACCTAGCAGAAAAAGAATCTTTAATTGCTAATCCAAACAATCAAAGAACATGAGTTGTAACCACAGAGAAATGATTTTGAATTAGCTACTATGTGGATTACCTTTGTCACTGATTTTCTTGCATGAAGTAAATGAGGGCTATTGGTAATTTCTTGATTTTAACTGAGGCAGATGACTCTACCTGCTTCCAGGGTTTGATAGAGGTCCTTAGCTAGGACCAAATTGAAGTCTTGTTCCTTTTCTCTGCAGCTGCGGAAGCAGACAGGCGCGCGGATTGATGTGGACACAGAGGATATAGGTGATGAGCGAGTGCTGCTGATCAGTGGGTTTCCTGTTCAAGTGTGCAAAGCCAAGGCAGCAATCCATCAGATCCTGACAGAGAACACTCCAGTGTCGGAGCAACTCTCAGTGCCCCAGAGATCTGTGGGCAGAATCATAGGTACCACTGGACAGCTTCCTCTTTATTCTGTCTTTCCCACATTCTCGGGTTTTCCTGGCTTCCCCTAGGGAAAAACACACCCAGTTCAGACTTTTTTTTCTTCAGAACTGCTGTTTTAAAAATAAGGATGAGAGCCTTTCAAATAGGTTTCTGTGAACCATCAAGATAGCTCAGTGGATAAATGGCTGCCGAGCCTGACCGCTTGTGTTCCATCCACATGGGGGAGGGGAAGACCCAAGCTGCCCTCTGACCTCCACACAAACCACACGTACACATACAATAAGGAAAAGATTTTACAGGGATGCTAGAGATGTCCATAGTGTTCTAGACCTTTGAAGAAGGCAGTAATCCAGAGATTACCTGTCATGCTTTTCCTAGATCATTCCTTAGTGTTCTGTTTTCAGCTTAGGGTTCTGCACACTCTGTACCATGTGTCTTACAGATGAAAATAGAAAATATAGCTGCTGTGTAGCCAAAAAGTGGAAATAAGCATAAGTCTAAATAAAATGGTTAAAATAGAGTTCTGTACTTTCCTACAGTAGTTACTTTGGTAGCTCCTTATTTACTATCTTACATTCTATTCAAATTAATTGCGAGAACTGATTTCTTTTTGTAACATGTAAAAAAAAATAGTGATTTCTCTATAGTGGATATTGGTCAGGACAGCTTTTTTTGTATTAATGTAGGGAGAGGTGGCGAGACTATTCGCTCTATCTGTAAGGCCTCTGGAGCCAAGATCACTTGTGACAAAGAATCGGAAGGAACCTTACTTCTTTCAAGACTTATAAAAATCTCAGGAACGCAGAAGGAAGTGGCAGCAGCGAAGGCAAGTATACCAAGAATGAGGGTGGCCCTTCTGCCCACCCTGTTATCTGGTTACACAGAAATGACCCTTATTTCCCACAGCATCTAATACTGGAGAAAGTTTCAGAAGATGAAGAGCTTCGGAAAAGAATTGCCCACTCTGCAGAAACCAGAGTCCCACGAAAGCAGCCGATCAGTGTGCGAAGAGAGGAAGTGTCAGAGCCAGGTGGAGCTGGCGAAGCAGCTTTATGGAATACCAATTCTAGCATGGGGTCAGCTGCACCCCTGGAGGTTCCTTTATGCAAAGGAGGTGGTGATGTGATTGTTACTGGATCAAAAGAAGCATCCTGGGAGAAACCTTATGAAAGCATTCAGTATTCTGATGCCCAGAGCAATCCAGAGACGACTATGTTTGAAAGTATGTAGAGGAGCCTTTTAGAATAACCAACCTAAAATAGGAAAATTCTGTTTTTGTGATTTCCTTCTGTCATACACAACTTATTTTGAATCATATGTATATAGTAGGATTTGAAACCTGTCCTCCCCTAACACATCTTTACCTCAACTCTTTTTCTAACCCAATGAGTCCAACTAGTGCTATCCCTATTTGCATGGATGTGGGGCCATCCACTGGGGCATAGGTAACACTAAGAGGGGCTACGTCCAAAAGAAAAGTGGCTCCTTCCTCCACTATCCAAATTTCCACTATCCAGTATTTCCAAAACTAGGCATAGGGCCACAGGAACCCCTTCCCCATCCATGCTTGACCTTGTAGGTGAGTTTGTGCATCCAAATGCCATGTAATGTCCAAGAGACCACATTTTACAGCACTCCTCGTCCTCTGACACTTAGATTCTTTCTGTCCCCTCTCCCATGGTGTTCTGTGTCTGGGTCGCAAGTGTTGTTGGGTTGCTATAGAGCTCCTGTCTGTTCATATCTAGGCATACTTTTTTGCATAAGAAATTTTCAACCTGGTTTTTATACTGCTTGTCTCATTACTGTTTCTAAACATCATTGAAGATTGAAATGGCCATGGGCTTCCTCTTCTATGTTAAGGTACTTGAGCATGAAAGGGCAGAGCTAAAAAACTGGCCTAAGTTCACATAATAAATCCCTGGCAGAGAATCTGTAATAAGCAGAATTGCTGTCTGTGTCCTTATTGATCCTGCCAGGCCTAGCAGATGAAGGTGTAAGATTCACTATAATTGCTACCTCATTTGAGTCCATGGAGAATGGCTATGTAAAATTTGGTTACATAGAAAGGTATAGAAACAAACAACTGGTACTGATGTGCTCACCATCCTTACTCCTGTGTTTAGTTCCTAGTCCTGACAGTTTAAATTCTGATGAGTACCAGGAAGTATATGTTTCCGCTTCTGAGCACCCCAACCATTTCTGGATCCAAATCCTTGAACCGTGCGGCCTCGAATTGGATACACTTATCAACGATATGACTGAGTATTATGACAATACTCTGGTGAGTTGCTGTAAGGGAAGGCTAGGCTGGGGCTTTCCTTTCTCAATGTCAAATGTTCCTTTCTTTCCATACTCTTAGCTTTCACTTGGAAATAACCCTCTCCTGACTTTCTATCCCCATGCTTAGCCTGAAGACTTGGTTCTGCACGAAGGAGACATTGTAGCAACACGCTTAGCTCTAGATAACCTCTGGTACCGAGCTCAGGTTCTTGGTACCTTGGAGAGTGGGAATCTGGACCTCTACTTTGTTGACTTTGGAGATAATGGAGATGCCCCATTGGCGGCTGTAAGAACTCTCAGGTGAGTACAGAGACCTGTTAGGATCCGAGCTGTTGGCTCATTTCTGCCGATAAAAAACTGGGGAGCTGGGGGCTGGAGAGATGGCTCAGAGGTTAAGAGCACTGACTGCTCTTCCAGAGGTCCTGAGTTCAATTCCCAGCAACCACATGGTGGCTCACAGCCATCTGTAATGAAATCTGGTGCCCTCTTCTGGTGTGCAAGCATACATGGAAGGAATGTTGTATACATAATAAATAAATAAATAAATCTTTTAAAAAAAAAAAACTGGGGAGCTATTGGCATATCAAGGAGATTTAGAAGGAAACATGTATACCTGGGATTCTAATTTCATTCAAATTAATCTCTTTAATTTTAGGAGTGACTTTCTAACTCTTCCATTTCAAGCAATGGAATGCAGTCTATCACAGATTGCCCCCTCAGGTAAACCAGTTATACCACCTATTGACTTTACCTCCAAACAATAACTTTCATACAACATGTAAGGAAATCCCCATTCCCAAGCTTTGGAGACTCGGGTACCTTTTCCTTATTAGCACTAGAAAGCAAGACAGAAATTTACTAGGCAGTCAGATCCAGACCCACCAAATAAGATTCCTGGAATACATACTGGATAGGATGAATCCCACCTCTTACAGCTCTGAGGCTCACTCCCTTGTTTTCCCTTATCTTCCAGGTGAGCAGTGGGAAGAGGCAGCGCTAGATGAGTTTGAAAGACTCACTCATTGTGCTAACTGGAAGCCCCTCATGGCCAGACTCATCAGCGATGAACAGACTGAACTCTCACCTTGGCCACAAATCCAGTTACTTGATACCAGCAATGGGAAGGTAAGGGTGTGAGGTTTCATACATTGCTTGCTGTCTCATCTATTTTCTTTCTCAGAATCCTTACACTCTGATAGATCTGACCATCTCACCCCATTTTGGTTTCAAATTTGCTCTCCCTTACAACAGAACATTATTGCTTTCTCTTTCTTTTTTAGAAACTTGATATTGGGCTAGAATTAGTTCGTAAAGGATATGCAGTAAAACTTACTGAAGATGTAGAAGAAAACAGAAATGTCCCAGATACGTTGAAGGACATGGTAAGTCACTAGTCATTTAAGGTGCTTCCAGGAAAACTGAGTGCTTAGAGGCGCAATGAAGGCCTAAATTTTATTTAAGATTTAAATGATTTTTTTCATATGTGTGTTTTGCCTACATGTTTATCTTTACCACATGCATGTAGTGCCTGAGGAAGCCAGAAGAGGGTGTTGGTGCGGTGCCCCTGGAACTGGATTTAGACAATTGTGAGCTGCCATGTGCATGCTGGGCACAGAACCTTGGTCTGGAAGAACAGCCATTGCTCTTAACCTGTGCCATCTCTCTAGCAGATTATTTTTTAATCTTGTGTATGTGTGCATGTTTATAATGTATACTAAATGTGTGAATGCCCAAGAAGGAAAGAGACATTGGATCTGCTAAAGGTGAAGTAACGGGTTGTGAGTCATCTAACGTGGGTGCTGGGAATCTGACTTGGGCCCTCCAGAAAAGTAATATGTGCTCTTAACTGCTGAGTCATCTCTAGCCCCACTTCCACTTTAATGAAATGAAGCTTATGCCCTCATGAGAACCTTTAGACTATATTTTCCAGGCTGAATGAAAATGCAAGCAAAAACATTGTGTCTCTTAGTAGTCAACTTGAGCAACTGCCTTAACCAAACCTGTGATCAAAATGACAGGCTTCTCCCTTTTTCCATAAAGGCCGCAGAAACAGATGCTTCTCAGATACTCACTGAGAACAAAGAGAGCCCTGAGGAGGAGCTGCCACAGGCCCTATTCTTCTACTCATCAGGTATAAACAGTTGTTCATTCACACAGATCTGTGCAAGTCCAGATCAGGGAGGAGCAGCATAAGGTCAGGGTCAACTCCAGTCCGCACTGCATGCAACCATGGCTAAAAACACATGGCTCTTAGGACATTGAACACCAACCACCTGTTTTTCTGCTGAGCTTGACTGGCCATGCTTGCTGGAAACAATCTCACATTCTCATTTCTTCTCACTAGAAGACTCTATGTCTGATATCCTTGATGACATAACGTGGGCTTAAGTCTGGGCTGCAGCTGCCGGACCAGCCATCTGCTTTTTACTGTAAGTAGTGCTGGAGCAGCAGGGAAGGAGGGGGGCACAAGGGCCTTCAGTCCTTCCCTATGCTGGGTTTCTCTGGAGCATCTTTGCAGCTTAACTTGCTCTCAAAGCCCTTTTAAGTTTTTTACCTTTGTCTTTGGCAGGATTTGGTGCCAGGAGAGGAATCTGACAGATCCGTGAAGTCCTTTATTTCACATGGTGTGGCTTGCTCTGTATCAAATCCGTTTTCTGTTTCATTGGACCTACCACAAAGTGATAGATAGATGGAGACAAATTTCTCCTTCACTCCTGGCTCCTCCCCATCTTTCCGTGTTTGAATGCTGCTGTGTAATTCCCAGCCTCGTTTCTGACTCACCTTCACAGGTGACTGTATTAGTAGGAAATGTTTGGACTCAAGACTGGAGTCATCGGGAGACAAAGGAAAATTGGCATGTTTAAAAGCCTCGCGAAGAGGAAGTACCACCTCTCACTCTCAGTGCTGAGGTGACTGGAGATAGTTCTTTTGAAATAGTCCTTCAGCTATTTCTTTTTGAACTTTAAAAATGCAGGCAGAAGAAATGGAGAGGTGACAGGAAACGCTGTAAATTTCTAGCATGTGTCTGCATACAGCCACCTAGAGAGAGAAGGTGTACTTCTGCTTAAATAATTTGGGATTGTTTGCCGAATAAAGGTTCTTTATAAAATTAAAACCATGTACTCGTCGCAACTTGTATGACTCTGAGTAAAGTCTCTTCTGAGTAAATCTTGATAGTAATTGCCTGCTGCCTCACATATAGAGGCCCATCTGTTACTTCACAAGTCACACAAAGCCCTCTTGCCCTGTGAGAGGAGGCCTGGATCAGAACTCTAGAAACCGGGGGTCTAGGAATAGGTCTTCAGTGTAAACCTGCTGAGCCCTGTCTCCTAGCATCTCTTCATTGCTTCAAATTTTTTGGACCCAAGTAGCATACAGACATTAAGGAAGAAGTTTGGGCATGTCTTAGAGTCCTGGAGGAACCTAGACAGGTTCCAACTGGTAGAGCACTGATGTGTGCTCAGTCTGACAGTGGGGTTCCTCTACAGCAGGCTCTGAAGCCATTCACTTCTGTTTTCCTCAGTGCTGCTTTCCCTGAAGGTCAGAGGTCAGGACTTGCAGCTCATTATATTAAAGCTCATTAAAACCAACTGACTGCTCTTGCAGAAAACCCAGTGATCTAGTGATCTAACCCCTGTGGGCACCAGGCATGCATATTGTATGCATGTATACATGTAGGCAAAACATTCAGGCACATAAATTTTAAGAAAAACAACTGGCACACCAAAACCTCAGCACTTGGGAGGGGAAACTGAAAGGATCAACACTACAGGCCAACCTAGGCTACACAAGACATTTTCTCAAAAAAAAGTACCCCCTTTCTTGTGTTCATTATGTCTTGAGTGTCCCCTGCCATTTTTGCAGTATACCACAGTACTTGCTGTCTAGAATGTTCTCTTATCTGTTGTAATACTATTTCTTAGGATGTATATACTTTTCTCTGGTTTTCTCTTCATCCAAAGACAGGGAATTAGCACTTGTCTCTAGTTTGAATTGAAATATATTAAAGACTAGCAAGGCTTAGTCTTTCTGAACATTCTAGTCAAGTGCTCAGTAAATGGGAACGGAAAAATGGTTGAGGGATAAGAAGGCAAAAGGAGCCCTCCCATGTCTGACTCAGGTCACTGATCTTTTTTAGTCATTAAATATGTCCTACAATGAATATTTCTATCAGGTTCATATTCCATTACAGCATTCCCCCCTCTCAAGAAACAGTGAACACTTTGATTGCACTACCCTTTATTTCCTAGGATGGAAGTGTCTCAAATCACATCCTGGGCCCCAGAGTCCCGTGTGTTGAGGTTTCTGACCCCTCACAGAGATGGTATAAACATGTTTAGGGAGGCTCACTAGCCAGGCTGGTCAAGGTCCCTTTCAAGGGGATACACCATAAAGATGACATTGTCCCAGGGAGGGAGGGCAGGATGATCTGGTCTGACCACCTCAAAGCCCATGTAGCTAAAGGCTCGCAGCAGGGCACCTGTAGAAGAGAACAAGATATTAGAACATCCACTGATGCTCAGCCCATAGGACTCCTTATAGAGTGACTCTGGAAAGCGGTGTGGTGCAGGCTTGGATGTGCTTGGGCGTGACGCAGATGCAGGCCTACCCTGCCTTAGAATTCAGTTTAACATTTGAGTTAACCTTTCAGATCTCCAGTTTACCCATTTGTAAACTGGGAATGAGAACCTTCAAAGATTTAAAATGTGATTATCAAGCACTTAGTGCAATGATGGCATTCTAAGCTCTAAAAATGGTGACTATTATTGCTTGCAATTGGCAAACAGCTTGTTTTGTTTTGAGATCTCACCATTTAACCAATCTGACCTTGAATGTGGAATTCTGTCCTAGATTTCCAAATGCTAGGATCACAGATTTTTACCATCTTGTCTTGTACCCAACAGAGTATAAATTCTCTGAAAGATGAGCAATAATATATTACATCTGGTTAAATATGTTCCTGTCCTACTGTGAAGTCTTGATACATTTTCTTGACCTCCTTTGTCAGTCTACCACATTCCTTAAATGCATTCTGTATAATTTCTCTAGTGTTCCCAGTCTTGTGCCTGATACCACCTGCAGGGATTTGTTAGCCCAGTTGTAATGGGACAGAATAGAATGCTGTGTGCCTTAATTTCCTTTGCAATAGAAGTGGGGACGGGGTGGTTGAAATGCCAGACTCATCCAAAGATGCCTAAACACACCTCTGTCCTTCCGATCATTCTGGAAGTTCACAAACACAGAGTCCACATTGGTCTTCTCCTCCACATACTCCAATGTTGCTGTCAAGCTAGAGGCCAGAAAGAAAGTTAATACTTGGTTAACTTTATCTAGGAAGTCAGCAGGGGAAATACCAGTGAGGATTTCTCTACCGACTGAAACTAGGAAAGTAAAAGTTGCTGAAGGAGTCTGGTGGCTTTTCTCTGAAACCAAGGGATTCCAACACAGAAGGGGGTCATCATAAAGGAAAGGACTGCTGAGAAGCAAAATTATTCAACTATTTGAATCCTACTTTAATGTTCCTGAGTCTGAGACCAGCAACCATCCCTCAGCCTAAAATTATTCCTTAAACCCCAAGATCTTCTCTGTGTGCTGTGTGTCCATTCCAGCTCCTAAGTCACTGACATGCTGAACAGAGGAACAGAGGACCCCATCTCTTCTTCCCCACACCCACCCAGCGCCTCACCTTTCTCGGTTGCCTTGATCCAAAGCCTGATGTGGGATATCCAGGAAGAGTCGGTGGTCACACAGAAGGCCGTGCCAGTGAGCAGAGGAATGGGGGGTGAGGCGAAAGTGGAAGTCTAACTGAACTGGATCTTGGTGAAGCAGGGGGTCAGTTGATAGCACTGTCAGGTTCCCAGCCTGGAAAAGAAATAAGACTGAAGTAGCAATCTGCTCGCTGAGTCTTCAAGTCACATCTGGGGTAAATTGGGGTGCTCTTGTAGAATCACAAATCAGAGGGGCTGGGAAAGTCAGAATCTTTTTTTTAATTTTATTTTATTTTTAATTTTTTTTTGAAAGTCAGAATCTTAAGAGATGTAAGAATATTCCTTAGTCCTAGGAATAGCCATTCAATACTGAGTTCTACCTGATGTCATGTGCCTAGGAGAACTTTCTAGTGCTGGGAAGCTCGGGGTGTTGTCTTGCTCATGCTCTATCTCCAGCCCCACTTTTATTTACTTATTTTTGTAAGGTTGGGGAATAAGATCTTGCTGCGTTACTGAGGCTAGCCTTGTACTCTGTGGCCTCTGCAGCCCTTTCAAGAAGCTGGGATTACAGCTTTCACTGCCAGGCCTCTCTCTATACTACTTCATGTCCCAAGACTCACTATAATCTGCTATACCTTTGTTCCCGCTTCTTTCCCATCCTGCTATTCGCTATAGGAATCCATCTAGAAAGCAAGTAGATTTTACACATGCGTTCAGGGGTCTACCTATGTCTAGTTTTTATGGCTATCAGTGTTCCCTCCTCAACAAAGCCGTTACAGCAAAGAGCTGGCCTGTCGCATCACCAGCGCACAGCACTTACTGAATACACTTCTTTAAGCTGGCTGTGGTCTTTTTCCTGCTCAGTGCTTCTGCCCACCTGGAGGCCTCCGAGGGACTCAGGAGCACTGGAGGCAGCAATGGGGCCGAAGCGTCAGGTCCTCCTGTTCTTTGTAAGTGATGCTTGTTTGGGAAAGAGAGACCCAAATTAGTTTACCTCAGAGCCTGGGGTGAAGACATAAACTGAGAAGGTAACTTCCTGAATTCAGCTACACAGGACCAGCCTTCCACACTGTTTTCCTTTATCACCTATGGAATACCTTATTTTTCCAGGCCAACCAAATAGAAAAATTGTACAACTCCATATGCGGCTTCTACCCTGCCTTTTAAAAGAATCTCTCAACTTGTTTTCTTTTCCTTATACTGTATGTAAACCACAATGCCAGATGGAAAGAAGTACCTTCTGTAACAACAAGGCAGCATCTTCTCCCGGAGGGTGATTCGGTATTTGTAGCAGTAGAGGTAGTAGGCGTACGGTGACCAGATGGGATAGAGGTAGTTCCGTGCTTTTCCCCTCTTGATATAAGAAAGGGAGTAGAGAGAGGGGCGGGACCTGTTACAAGGCAGTTTCACTGTTCAGTGCCTCCCTGCGGCAAAGTGAGGTTCAGAGGGTGCGTGGCAGGACTCCGGGCAGCCTTGTCATTGTGACCTGGCTGGCACTATGACATAGACAAGGGGCCCGTGCTTACGTCACTTCAGTTTTACCCCGCCCTGTCCCGTTAACCCAGGCTCATGTTCAGCTGGCATACACGTCACAGCTGTATTGGTAGTTTAAAAGGCTTTCAAACTAATGTCCTAGCTGACACATCACCCTGCCTGAGCCCTGGTACCCACCACCCTGACCCTCCCTATGGACCATTTCTAAATTCAGCAACTACAGAGTTGGTGTCTGACGCCACAGTAAGCTTCCAAGACGCTGCTCCAACACTCTCCTCATTAGTAGTTGTTTTAAAAGTCTTTATTTTCCCCATTATCCCTTTCCATAGCACAGAAATACTACAAATTGCAGAACTTTTTCTGTTGTCTTTATAGGTTAGGAATCCCAAATTAAACACCTCTAGGGAACTGTAATGCTACACACCCTTTTTTGTTCTTGTTGTTTGTTTTATGAGATAAGAGTTTCCACTTATCCTGACTGTCC